GTATTCTGATGTTCATTTAGAAACAAAAGATTAAGTATCCTAAAAGTCCAGTCATTCTACTTAGTTCTGCAGATTGTAATATTTACATAATACAGTCAATATGATTTCTATTAGGCTAATTTTTTTAGAAGTAACATACTAAAAAACCACAGATTTAATTATAGTTGTAAAAAGAATATAAATGTGGTAAACTTGATCAAGTAAAAATAAGTTTATTAAAGTTTCACTAACAAAACCTGGAAGATGAGGAAAGGAAGAGAAGCAAAGTATACCAAATCCTATCTCTTATTGGTATTTTGTTACAGGGAATAAACAGGGCATCAACAACTATCTACGGCAATAAGTCAGGAAAAAGGTATTTTAATGTAATACTTTAAATTACAATGAGATCTACTAGGAAAAAATTAATAAGATGTAAAAGTGGTTTACTCCAGGGAGTAGGAACAGGAATGCTGGGTTGGGCAGAACAAAGAACCTTTACCTTTCATTTAAGACCCTTTGTTCAAATATATGTTTTTGCCATTTGTAGATTTTACTTAACATCACTTTAAAATGGTATGGCACAGTTTTGGGGAGAGGAAAATAAGTTACAATAACAGATAAGGAAAAAATAAATAAATAAATAACAGATAAGGAGTGCACACAGTATCCAAATAGCATGGTATCAGTAACTTGGCCCAAGCAAATCCAGCAACAAGGACTCTGGATCTACGAATGGGTCTAGCTGGCTGGACTAGAGACCCAGCAGAACCACTCCCTGCTAGAACACTGCCCCCCAGCAGGATTCCAGAGTTCCCCTTTGCTGAGCCTAGAGGAATAGAAAGCAAATATTATCTTGCTGGAAAGGAATCATGGGCAATAGGGGAAGAGGAGTTTACTAGTACTGCAGTAATTATACCTAAAAGATGTGTTCATTGCATCTACAATTTAAAGAAGTTCTAAAACCCACAATTTTCATTCAACTGTCAGGATCATATTCTGAGAAAAAAAAATAAAAGTTTATTTTAAAGATTAGGAGAAATTCAATGCTTCTATGCTAAGGTCCAGTACTGAACATACTAGTTCTGATGGTACACAAACTTTTCACAGGGCATAATCCAGAATGCTCTCAGCTTCCCTCAAGTCGTTTCTTTCAAATGAAATAAACAATAAAGTAGTTTTGACTTTTAAAAGTAACTTTTCTTGAAACTAATTTTGATAAATTTCAGGTGAAAAAGAAATTAAAATGCATCATTCACAGACGTACTTTAACATAAACACACTGATTCTTATTCCGTCAATAAATCCCAATTATATGACTGTCAATCAACTCAAGAAATGTCAAATAATGTAAAAATGTTCCCTGTGAGTTATAAAAATGAGCAAAACTGGTGTTACAGTATCTTTTATTAAAGATGTTGTTGGACACATCTCAAGGAAGATACAAGGTACTGAAGAAGTACCAGTTTTCTTTAGTTTCCAATCAGCTGGGCACATCATATTACTTGATACTTCATGCATTCAATTACATAGTCACATAACCTGAAAACTACCAAGTATACAGACAGCAACTCTTTATGCAGAAGCAAATATGTGAATTCCGTTTTTTCTACTTTCAGAATCATAAGAGTCAGCCCTCAGTTGTTCCATGAATATATTCCTAAGACAAGGTCTCTGCCCTCTACCAAAACCTTATTTCCAGTAAAGAAGTGATATGACTAGGAAAGGAATGGAAGGAGAAACATACATTCTACCAAGAAAAAATTAAGAACTGGACAAGCAGGCACACTGTGCATATGAACTTACCTACAATTACAAAAAAAAAAAAAAAAATCACACCAGAATCTGGAAATGCTCTGAATCATGGGGTGGTTTTCTTCAGGACATGTCTACAGGGACTGTATTTCATGATTCTCTAGTCATCAACAGAAGTTAAAATAAATTTAAATGTTAAAGAAAATAAGAGTGTAAATTCGGTTGGAAATGAATTATTATTCCTATGATTTTCAGAGTGTCAAACGATTTTTCACTCTAATTCACTCATATCCAAGCAAAGATCAAACCTTGCCATTGGCTAAATTCCATAGCTCCAGGTAAACTAAATGAATTTTTCAAGTGCTGATGAATCACATCTGAATAGACCCAACTATGAAGTTCAAAAACAGGTTCAATATTGTGTTCAGAAGACCAGAAGAAAAAGAAAAGAAATAAATGTGTAGGATAAAAAAGTACATCTAATTAATAGACAAAAATAAAAGAAGTCAGAATAAAATCCCAGAATATAATTCCTTTCACTTTTGCAGACTCAACCTGTCCCACATATCAACTAATTCTATCGCTATATCCCACATCACGTTATCTTACTACAAGAAGTGAACAAACTTCTCAAGCTCTCTCAACTAGGAAAAGGGTAAAAGAAGGGGTGAAGGGAATATGGGCTTGGGACAGGCAGGATGAATGACAAGCAGTGTGCTGGTATGCAGGGAGAACTGCTGGTGCAGGGGCTGTTACCACCCCAAACAATTTCCAACTTGTATCTCTGCTCTTCAGCCACCCTAACGTTGTTACTAAATCACCAAAGTAAAAACACAATTCTAACAGCTTTCCAGAAAACCTAAGGCAAAATCCCATTACAATGAATTCCTTGGGACATTTTAACATATTTGTGCATGTATTTTTACCTATTTTCAGAGAATAAAACAAACTTTTCTTATCATTACATGCATGACTCACCTATGTAAACACAGCATGCTTCTTAGAGTGTGTTACCTAAAATAAAACACTTACTACTTTAAATCCCCATTACAGATCTTTTAAATTTCAAATATTTCATCAGGTCAGGTAACTGCAGTCATACCTCCTCCACATATCACTATTACATTAATGAAAAAGTACTAGAAGCCACTTCATGCTAACTTTAAAAAGCCCAAAAATAATTTCTTTTAAAAACACTTTTTTATAGTTAACTCTCATCAAGTAAGGTATTTACTTTAGCAAGCTAAAATGAAATTTTTCATTATGGAAAAAATAAAGTGTCAACATATGTCACCTGCTCCCTCAATTTCCTGCCACCAAATTTCCACGACCATTCTTTCCTATTAAAATAGATGGTGACCTTTGCAAAGTCAATCTCTGCTATAATCCCTGCAAAGCCTTACTTTATTATGTTCTCTATTTTCTACTCCTCCCTCTTTCTTAAAGATTTTCAAATATTCAGGTTTTCCCCCTCAATTCTACATCCCTCCTATTTTATAAAATTTCCTCACCCTACCTGACACTTCAACAAAATCTGTCCCAACAAGGTCAACTATGACTTGTTACTATAAATCCAAGAGATAGATATTTTTAGTCCTCATTTTGCTTGGCATCTCTGCAAAGACTTCATTTCACCATGACACCCGTAGTCTTCCATCTACTACCCCTCATATCGTGGCTTAGCTAACCCCTGCTGCTCCTCCTTCAGGTCCTCCTTAGTCTTGATGCCCTAAGGAGAGTAACATCTACTGCTTCCATGTATGCTCAACTTCCTTCTCCCTAAGGGCACAACCCACTTGTGCCTTCTTCAATCCAAGCCCTTCTCAGATAGACTATGTAACTCTAGAAAATCAGGGATTATACTGACCACACTGTCTGTAATCATCACTATATAACCAATTTCAAAGCAAAGCACCTGGCATGCAATAAGCACTCAGGAAATACATAACTGCCTGAATTATGTTTATCCAATCATAAGTAGGCTGTTCTCACAATAACAAATTTATCACCACAAGATGAACTAAATGTGTACCATGTTTTTTTCTGGACCTAGAAGACATTGTTAAAAATTTTTAAATATATTCAACATACTACAGTTAATTCTCCACTCAATTTAAAAAGTGTAAATGATATAATCAAGTTGACATAATAGTGACAGTTAATCAGTATCAAAATGGATAAAACCAAAATGCCACTGGTACTATCCTAGAACTATACATTCCCTCATCAAATTAAAAGTGTGTTGTTTCAAAATATGAATGATTCTAAAGAAAAAAATACCATAAATATTTAAATAGTATCGCCAAAAAGGAAATATCTAGCCCTCACCCAGCAGGGACCTATGATATGAGAGTATATGAAAAGCAAAAATTCAACTCAAAGCTGTATAAACATTTTGGTCTACCATAATCCTATCAGTTTGCAGATACTAGCAATCAAAACATACACCAGTGCATCATGCTTACTGACTGTCAGAACTTCCATTCAGAGAGACTCAAGAACTGTATTCTAGGGTAGATATGAATTTCATTTGAAAGTGGGTTTGCTTGGCAAGCATGCTATTTTACTTAGATTGTACGTTTATTTGTGGTGGTTTTAGAGGAATGATGGAAATCACCCATGGGAATTAGAGACTCCAAGGCACGACCTCAGGAATGCAAGACCTTCATTTTAAGCAGGCCAAAAATCCATTAATAAAGTTAAAACTAACAGCAAAGGATGCAGCAGCCATTACTACATTGTATATTTTCTAAATAAATAAACAAAAGATGCAGCACAGTAAACACACAATCACTTAAATATCACAATGATGATGATTACACAAAATGAAATCACACTTAAACTTTCCAAAAGAATTCTTATCGTGAGGCAAGCCCCCGAACCACTTGGATCTGAAAAACAACCTGCAATAACATTCTCAATATTTATGAGGTGGGCAAAGTGAGGGAGGAAGAATTCCCAAGAGATGCAATGGAGGTGTGAACAAATTCATTCTTCTCTGCCACTCAATAAAAATGAAATCAACAAGATTGGAGAACAGGGGAACAAAGTTGCAAAGTGGGGAGAAAGACAGAATTAAAAGGTATCTATCTGATCTTCTACACCTGAAGATTGCTATTCATAATTTTAGTGTACTGCCCATTTATGAACAAGAATACTAAACTAGAACATAGCACTTAATATTAACTTTCCATGTTTATTACATTGTATGTTATACATCAAAATCTGACAATATAGTCAGCTTTAAAATTTTCGTATTACCTTACCTTATGCAGCTGTAATGCTTAAAAGTACTGGCAGCTTTCTGACATTCCAAGCACAACTGAATAGCTCCTGGATAATCTTCCTCCTTGAGATAACAACAGAAGTCATTAGTCAGGGAGCATTTTTCTTAAGGCCCCTGAAAAACACGAATCTCTATTCATACTCTAACCAAAAGCTACAGAACCAGAAAATTTCAATTCCCTTTGTTAGAATACCAACAATAAATAATAAAATATAAAGAGGCAACTAGCTCCAAGCCTAGAATGTATGCATAATAAAAATACTGTGTTCCCTCAGGTACTCAGTAACATCCCTCTGAGACCATGACATGTGGATAAAGCCTATACACAATTATAAGCTGCTTTGCAAGGAAGGTGTTCCTTAACTGGTAACATTTTTTTTCAGTAATGCTTCTATAAAATGTTCCAAAACAGTAGGCATTCTATGTGTAATCAACATTCAACAGTTCTACCATCAAGAAATCAATAAATATTTTTAAATAAAACTGAAAAAATATGAAATTTTCATTAACAATCTCAGAATATTTTTATGACCTAAACAGTAGTTTGACGCCAAATGAATTTTTCATGTGCATTTCTCAAAACACTATGTTAGTGGAAAAAGTTTAGAAGTAACACAGCGATTACACAGAAAATCATTAAAAATTTTCCTATGCTCATCTCTAAATTCAACAATTGCAATCCAAACTATTAGGGATGCTGAGATGATGACAAAGTACCTACCCAAAGGAGCTCAAATATTATGAGGAAACACACAACCTTCACATGAGCAAGTACCTTCACCTGCTACAGATGCTCTCTATATAATACACCAATTTGAGAAAAACATCTCAGTTCTTTCCACTATAGCTTTTCTATTTAACATTACCAGGATCACCATATTTCCAAGCTTTGTTAACTTACCTCCAGCATTTCACTTAAGCGCACATCTGTTCTTTGCTGAAAAACAAAAATCAAAAGGTAAAATCTGTTTCAACCATAAAATTAAGTTGCAATTTTTACAAAGTAACCTGTATATACCAATGTTTTTATAGTTCTCAGAGATTTCAGAAGTCCAATCAGCAACTGACGTTTCCTTTGATTTGCAAGAAGGCCTAAACTAGCTTGAGTAAAACCTTCCTTTGCAATATTCAAGTGTCTGTAAAAGTGAACAATAAATAGTTACATTTTTCTAGTATAATAATAGTATTCACACAGAACAATTAGGCAACTAATGAGATAGTATGCTGGATTACTCTTAAAATCAGGGATTATAAGTACTATATGCCAAATTTATTCAATGGCTCGGTCTAAATCAGCATTACTCAAAGCATCGTGGGTGGACTGGTGCCAGTCCTCAAATTCTTACCAGTCCTTGAGAAAAAGCGTTGAAGACACAGCAAAAGTTGACATGATAATTTTACATTTGATGACTTAATAATTGAAAAACTGGGACTCTATTTTGTATGTTTTGGGTTTTTTTTTTCATTTCATTTTCCTAGTATTTTATTTTTATTGCATTTTACAAAAGTAACCGTCCGTAACGAGTAGGAAACTAGAAAAGAAAAACAAACTGGTCCTTTACCATATACAGTTTGGAAAGCACCAATCTAAGCAATACAAAAACTAATATTTTTAAGCTATACCTAGACTTATAGACATTTCCCACGTATTTTAATGCAGATTTTAGATCACAATGTATGTTCAGTTAATGTTATTCTAGAAACCAGTTATAAAAAAAATCAATTATGATAGTTTCACAGTTTTCCTTGAAATGTTTGCCAGTTTAATGAACAAAATATCATCAAATGCAATACCTCCTCCCATTTGTGCAGATAACAGCAGCTAACTGAAGACCTGTCTGTAATGAGGTAACTCTTTCAAGTTCCTATGGGAAGATAAGGTACAGGTTAATGCTAGAGGCATTGTATTTTTCTTTCCTATTCATATGGCACTCTAATAAAAATTTTAGTGGGTTTCAAAGAAAAGCCTGCCTGGGAAACAAAATAGCAACAAAAATACCTGAATCTTACTCAGATTGGTGCATTTTTCACAGAACTATTTAAAATGACCACTTTCAACTGATTTTCATAAACATATGACAAAATAGTTAGTACCATGTATAAGGAAATCTAGACCCAACCTAGTTTATACAGGAACAAATACTAATAATAAATCCACTTAAATGTTTCTATCCAACTTCACACATGGTAATCAAGGATACAACAAATATGATCTGTTTGCTAAGATGCTTTGACAGTAAATGTCTTCATTTGAACACTGGTAGGTATTTTAGTGGATTGTGAAGTCTGATTTTCTGATAAAAAGACAGATTGTTACATTGCCATTGAGAGGCCATTGTGTTACAATGTACTTAAGAAGCAATTTTCACTGACACTTCTAAAGCTTGGAAAACCAAAGAGATTACTTCGAAATCAGCTGTACACTCTTGCACTTTTTGAGATGGGTGAATTCCCCCCAAAATGAGAGAGAAACACACACACACAATCTCACAGTCAATGTTGCTACAGAATGATAGACAAAAGAATAAAATAATTCAACAGTTTCAAGTGTAAGTCACTCAAACAATTTTAAAATTTCACTATTAAAAATAACAAATATTAACCTACCTTTACATAAGCAGGCTGTTTTTCAAGGATTAAATCTGCAACTTTTTTTGAGACCTGTAACAACATGCAATCACACAAAAGAAGTAAAAGAAAAAGCCTTGTGCTTATCACATTTTATATTTAACATTTTTGCAAGAGTGTTCCCTTGGTCTTCCCAGTAACTTCTACAGCAGATACTGGCGTGCTATGGTCACACACATTTCTCTGGACTATGAAATTAATAAAAGAGATACAGCACAGGGCACAGTACTTGGTCCTTCACAGACACTAAATAAATGGTCATTATTACCATTGATAATGAGTATCATTATCTGACTTAACCCAACATGCATAAAATTGTAACATCTTTAAGGATACTAGATTTGCTTGAAAAAAGATGAGCTTGTTATGATAAATAAATGTTTAACCTATTGAATTCATGGAGACAATATTTTGGCAATTGAGAACACCCTTGTACTCTTTAGATCCTTTGTACCTCAAGAACTTTGGTCCTCTACTGCTAAAAAATTAAGAACATGCATTTTTTTGGAATGGTATGAAGATACCTAAGGTCTTCTTGGTCAAGTCCATGAATAATGTTCATGTATGCAAGTCAGAATTACATACAATAATTGTTAACATAAGGCTCTTATTTCACAATTTCAAGGGCCCCTGCCAGACTACACTACAGCAGTACCTTGTCTAGCACGAAGCATGCACATTGAAGGTATTTAGTAAATGTCTACTCATGAAACACAACTGGCTCCCCTTTCCCTGGACAGCTGAGAACAAAACATACATGTGTTCAACTACTGCATTAGCCCTTTCATGTTTTCTTCATTTGCTTTGAATTTGTACAGATTTACAGACATGAATTTATATAAATGTACCCACACAGAACCCACCTACTTTTACCAAATTGGGTTAAAAAAAAAATAGACAATGTAGTTACTTATTGTTAGTGTGCACTGTGTCAGGCACTGTACTAAGTGCTTTTCCTATATCATCTGAATGAGTACTCCCAATAATCTACTGAAATGGGTCACATGCTTCCTCATTTTCCAGAGGAGTAATCTTAAACATAGTAGTAACTCACCTATAGTCCCACAGTTAGGAAGTGGCAAGGCCAGGATTCAAGCCCAGGTTTATCAAATTCCAAAAGTCACTCTGCTACACGGCCCTTGTGATGGGGCTCATTCCCAAAAGAACATTACCCCATAAGGTATATGGAAGAGTACACACTTAAACATGCTGAAACCAAAAGAAGGCAAAAGATGCCACCATCCACTGAAATCTAATTGTCTAAAAGCACAACATATTTTTTTCTACAAAACCTCCAGTGCTCAAATTCTTTCCCTATACTACCACTGCTACCCCCAGGGAGATCCCAGCACCCACTGAGACCTCTGAATGTAACACAAAAGAAAGAGAAATGTTATCTTCCTTTATTTGTCAGATTTATTATTAAAAATCATATCCTAAATTCATAAAGATAAATTTATTACTATTGTTCCTTTAGTATTAAAAAATTAAAAAAACTATATACTACCATTACTTAATCTTTTATAGTATATATAGTCTAAGTTTTATTAAAGGAGTTAAGCCATATGGGGGAAAATACAGATTTTTTTCAGCACTAGAGAAAATATAGGCCTAACCCATCACTTCACAGATAAAAGAAGAGATTTAGTAAGGTTAAGTGACTTGCCCAATGTCACACAATTAAATAGTAACTACAATGCTGACTTTCTGCAACTTATCCCTGTATTTTCTTTGTACCTATTTCAACTAGAAGTGGGGGCCTTTATTCTGAGATAAGAAAACTCCACGACAAAACTATGCATACGGAAGTCATGCATGCATGACAAAGAGTCAAAAGGTGCTTAGTAATCTGAGGAAAAACTCAAAATTCTTTGATCACAGTTACAATACTAGAGAAAGAACTCAAGTTTTAGAAACAAATCAATCAAGGTAATGTGAGGGAAACTGAATAGGCATTAGATTTTAATATAAATGTATCATTATACATTTGAGTCAAACAATGAGATTTATTTACTGTGTTATTAGTTAAACCATATAATCTGCAAATATTATACCTCTCCTCTGTATTTCATTTATAGTTTTGTCCAACAGTAATGTGTTTTTTACTTACTGCTGCTTGCTGTTGTTTCAATTTGTCTCGGTACTCCTCTAATTCTTGCAAATTGAGAACAGGAGGGAGCTTCTAAACAAATCCATAAACAAACAGTAAAAAATAAATTGTTTAATTTGGCTTCATTTACCTACACATCTCTGACTTATGAAGTACAATCTGTGCATATGAAACAGTGTCACATCCCATTCCCATCCATTCCTCTTATCCTCCCCACTTCCCCCACAATACTCCAAACACAGAAGCTTGCATATCTTTGTTACCCAACCCTCTGGTGCTCCAGTTCCATCCTTCACCCAGCCTACTATCTCTGCTGCTGCCTCCCACCCCCAGGAAAACCCACTCCTAGGACCCCTGGCCCCTAGGCTGAGAGACATTGCTTCCACGACCTGTCACAGGAAAAAGTAAGCAAGTCCCTAACCTTAATCCCACACTCTACCAGCCACAGGTATATCCCTACTTGTCTATGACAGAACTCAAAACATATTTCCCCTGTGAAATACTATGAATGGTAACTAAGCACTACAGTGTGAGAGTGACAGCTATTGCAGTACATCCTAGATCATACATCAGCTTTGGGAGAGTAGTATGGGAAACTAACAAAAACGCACACCACTGTGTGGATGGGAAACACCAACTTAGACTCCAAGTCTCAGTCAACTGACTGATGAAACTTCGGAGTGAGTTGGGGACTGACTTTGTACATAAAGTATACACACATACAGTTTTTGGTTTCATCTAAAACCATATTTCATTATTCTGACTTTTTTTGAATTTCCTTAAATTTCCTTAAATTTTGAATTTCCTTAAACACAGTGTTGTAAACATTATGGCATGAAGGTATTTATCATGACTAAACAATTATGTAAATATACATTCATGATTAAAAGTCTCAGAGCTTTTCCAAATATATAAAATAAGATAGAGGCACATATCAAAAATTACTGAGTATCATAATTCTTCCAAGTGGTAAAGATACCTCAAGACAAATGCTGGGCATTGAAGCCACAGGGCATAAATCTGCAAAGAAGTAAAAAGCTAACCTTTTCAAAGAATATTGCTTTTCTCTCACTTACCAACTTTACATCTCCCTGTATGGCCCCGGAAGATGATTGGTTAGCCAGAGACGGGTAAGATTCCTCAAGGGAGGAACAACCTAAGACAGGCACAGCCGCAGGGGGCCATCAGGTGAGAAATTGGGGATCAACAGAGGTGAGGCTTAGAACCTCACCCCCCCTGTTTTGAGAGAAATCTGCATCCGTGGATGTTTTGTTGCCCTTGTCTAGCTTGGATTAATACTTAGTCTACAGGCACAGACCTGATCATCTACATTTGCCCTCTTACAGAACTAAATTATGTTTTCTACCTTTATCTTGCATCTATTCAGCATTTTGTTAAATAAATAAATAAAAAATAAGGGAGAAATGTGGGATTCACATATAAATCAAGTATAAAATCAAATGAATAATCATATCTGACTTGATATGTTTATAGTTCATGATGCGTGATCAAAACTGAAAGTTTCTGTGATATGACTGCCCTTGCACTGTTCACCATGTAAGAACTTATTCACTATGTAAGAACTTGTTCACCATGTAAGAACTTGTTCATTATTCTTCAGAAGATTGGAGACTGTTGAGAATTAGGCTTGGGGTTGATTAATGATTGTGCATTGAGTCCCCTATACAGAATTTTATTGTTGTTAACAACCATTTGATCAATAAATATGAGAGATGCCCTCTCAAAAAAAAATAAATAAAATAAAATAGAGGCAGCATTCGAACATACTGTATGCTAACAGTTAAAAACTAAAAATACAGAAATGTTTCCTGGACTGTATTTTACAGCTGTACTTAATTTTACATTTTTAAAAATAACTTCATCTTTAAACAATGCTGACAGCTCATTAAATCACAATATGGTCATCACAGACCAGTCCTGGTATCAAAAAATGTAACTCCTCTAAAAAGCATTCAAATGTCACTCACAAATCCAGTCACTGAATAAAACAGGCTTTAAATAGGTTTTAATGAATTTTTTTTTTACCTCCAGCTCATATTTAACAATATCAAATGAGTCCGAAGAAAAATATACTTGTTCAATACTATTAATTAGTTCTTGTTCAGCTTGAGGGTCACTAGGCTGTTCTCGAAGTTCTCGGAATTCCTCCTTTAAAGAAAAAAAAAATCACAATTACAGTATTTGAAACTGTTATACTTCTATCTGTCTTAAAAGAAAACATAAATCTCCTGGGAATCTTTCTGACAAAGGAGACAAACTGATAGAATGAGAAAGTTCATGAAAAATTAAGGAATAGCCAAATGTTAAAAAAAAGTACTCATCTACTGGAGAAAAAAATTTGCCAGTCTGAAGATTCAGGTTTTTTCATATCTTTGAGTGCCAACTAGTAGAGAACTCAAATGTTTAAACAAAATAAACAAAGTGACTACCTACAATTTATCATACCTACATAGCACACACATATACATTTTCATCATTTAACAACATTCTAAATCTATCTCACCATAGATTATTGGAACTTGAGCAGACATCCTTCTCCTCAAAAGCTCACTGCTCATCTACGAAACATAGCTCCAGAAAAGGTTCACTACTTTACCTCTGTAATTCTGAGGCTTCCTTCAATGTATATTGATGCTGCAATTACTGATCTGATTATGAACCTAAAGCTCTGTATTTGATAAAGTGTTTTCTTTTTAATGATACAGAATGGGGCTTCTATCGGTTTATACAACTAAAAAAAAAAAAACAGCGTGACTGATAAATCCCTGCCCCTAATGTCAGCATCCTTATCCTATGCAATTTCACTGCATAATTGGATAAACCTTCAGGTAACTGGGAAATTTTATTAATTCAGATACCCACTCCCTGCTGCACTAGTTAATGAAGACATTATTATAGACATAACAATTTAGTTTTTCTTTTTTTATTCAAATTAATCTCATACATTTAAGCATACAGTTTCTTTAAAAAGAAACTATTTAAAATAATTTTAGTCACTAAAATAATACTTAACAAAAATTCTTAATGAATCATCACCAATTAGATTCACAGAAATCACCTGGTCAGTTTGAGAACATTTTCTAGGTACTCAAGCTTATTTATTGAGATGTATGGTTTTCATTTAAAAAAAGAGCCTAGCTTAGATATCTTTCAGATTTAATTTATATTTTAAATGTATAAAATTATTAACTATAAAAGTATCCCCTTTTAGTAGATTCAAGCTAAATGAAAACATTAGAGTACTACATCTGAAATTCAAGAGAATAGCTAACTGTTTAGATTTAAAACGAGAAAGCTAAGTGATAAAAATCAACCCTGCATTATTAAAAGTGAGTGGAAAAGAAAATGCTTCTCTTGTACCAAAATATAAAATTAACAAAAAAGATCAAAGACACAGCCATCACCAATTTAGCATGCAACCTGATACTATGAGTACAGTAAGAAATCCAGGCTCCAAACAGTAGCAGCTCTATTTGCCTGGGGGTTACCTACAACATGCTAATCTGTGTGGCAACCTCAACAGCAGCATGAGGAACAGACCCGGGTTAAACCCACACCACCTGTGGAAGGGTTCCCAACTAGCCTATCTACAGGCAACCTCCCAGCCTCCAGTGGAAATCTGAAAGGACAGCAAGACGTGAAATGGAAAAAGGGATCAGAAATTCCTGGCAACCTCCCTCCCTTAAGTCCGTCCACAGGTATCTGAAATACCAACCTCAAATGCTGCAAACTGAGGGAGAGTATAAGGCCTAAGTCAATATACAATAACGTTACCTACCTATAGAATTACTTATGGAATTCCATAGCACCACTAGCAAATAAATGCAATTGGTACCATTAAAAAGAAAAAAGTAAAGATTATGAAAATTATTAAAATTGAAAAATGTCAAAGAAGGGGGTGGGGAAGCAAAAAAAAAAATTGAAAAATGTCAGGTATGGACAAGCAAAAAATTCACACAGACTGCAACAAATGAGCACTTTCATCTTAATTGTATAAATGCCAATGGTACATAATCCATGCTGAGGTTCTCCATATACCACCTAACAGACTGATCTAAATGTAAAGACACTTAGGTTTTAGTTGCATCTCTGCTGTTAACCTTAGGCAACTTTCTCAATGCCTAACACACTCAAAATCAGAGTGAAGCAAATATCCTAAGTTATTTAAAAAGTCAAAGGGAAAACATGATATCATTTATAAATATCTCACAAGCATACATTTCACTAATGGAATGAATCTGTAAAAAACAGTACAATCTGTATATGTATATAAAAGGTCAAATGCCATTCCTTCCTGGAGAATAAGCAATTATATCATAGAGAGCAAACTCATATAATTTCAAAGAACTGACACACAACAACTGACACTCTAAGTAACCTGGACTAAAGAGAGGGGGGAAAAAAAACAAAGGCAGAAAGAGAAACACAGCACACAAAGTAGAATTAAATCCACTACAAAGGTCCAACACTGTATCCCTAGAAAATACCCTCTCTTTTCAGACAGCTTAGTGGCTCCTGTGTGAATACATACATCTGAACTCATTCAAACTCCATTCTGCCTAGAATCCCAATTGCCATGTTCCTTTTAATCCCACGGCACTAGCTCGCTGTAAGACTCTGCTGATACCTAACCTTTCTCTAAATGTTTCATCGCTGCTAGCACGGACTGCTCAATCAGATTACGTACTTTCTGAGAACTGTGATTTATCCTTATTCTCCATCATTATGCTCCGTAGTGCCAAAGCACACTGCAGATAATAATCATCGATCAAACTAAAATTAATATACACAGTGAATTGTATATATTTTAAAAAAGGAATAGAATAAAAAGAAAGGAAAAGACAGTATGTTCTTGTTTTGATAGTCAAAATTGTCCACCAACTCTTAATAAAAGGTCTCTTCTAACTAGAAATAACAATAAATGCTAAATGACTTTAGGGATATTTTATGCATGTAAATTAGGAAAGTAAACAGAAAACAGCTAGATTTCACATTCTTAACACAATTACACCATAATTTTGCCACTACATAAACTGGTTTCCTGGGATTGGACATGTACAAAACTAAGTAATTCTTCACCTGAAACAGAACCAATTTTGCAAGCCAATATATATTTATGAGGCAAAACTTTACATAAATAAAATGAACCAAAGATTTTCTACAAAAAAAAATTTTAAATCAGATCAGGGGAATAAAATAAATGAAACTCCTCATAACATATTAAAAAACATGATTTTTTTTTTAAGAACTAACAATACTACTAGATAAGCTAAGTTTAGGAATAAAATATTTCAGTCTCACAGAACTGCTATCCTGTATCAATTAAGATTTTTAAGGGATTTTATGTTTATAGCAAATTGTATGTTAAGTAGTAACTAAAATATACTTATCATTAACAGTGGCATAAATGCTCTGTAAAAGTTGAAATTCCAAAAATAATTTGTCAACAACTACAGACTATCAAATGTTCCACAACTTGCCTGCTTGCCTTATGTTATATACATATAAAAGAAAGAAAAAAACACAGCAATGTCACCCAAACATTAAAGCTGGAGAAAAACTGCAATTAAGGTAATTAGATTAATTGTAAAGAGGATAAAAACAAAAGTATAAATAGCAAAAAAAGAACAAATCAAATTTCCCAGTAGGAAATAACCTGCCTCCTTTCAAAGTTCTATATTATTTCAATAAAAAAAGTTCTATCTTCATTTCAATTTAAAAAAATGGTTTTTAATACCCACTATGTAAAAATTCTCCATAGTAGGTCATACAGAAACAAAGATGAGTAAAATACAGCTCTTCCTTCAATTAGTTGCTAACGTAATAGAAGGGATCAGATGAATAAACGATGATGATGCAAGGCAAAACATAAGGCACAGACCAAACCAAGGGAATCAAAGGACGGTGAGTTCACTTCTGCGGGAAGAGGTGGCATTTAGAGAACATAAGAATAGGTAAAATTTCAAATTCGATAAATTGGGAGAATAAGGTTACAAATATAAAGCAAAGCATTAAGTAAAAATAGTGTAGTTAGTGGGAACAGGTTAAACAAGAGGGTGGCTAACGTAGAAAAATGTCAGGCAGAGTGTCTGCAGGTACAAGAGGCTATAAAATGCAACTGAGATTTTTTTTAATCCAATATACTTTTACACATACTAGAACCAAATTTTTCCTTTACTAAAAATTAAAATATTTTAATACATATCACTATGCCAGATAAAAGTAAGCATAAATATTCAATATGTTCTTAACATAATAAACCAAGCAGAGTTATTTTAGGAAAGTGGTAGACAGCAAAGAAGTTACTCAATATTTTAGAAGCTATCTTTTCCAACAGTCACTATAAGGCTGCATATAATACTACCCAGCCTACCTTTCTATTATCTCTGAGGTAAAGCTACATGAACACACATAAAAATGCACATCATAAATGTAACTTTATGAAAAACAAAGTAAAAACCATCATAGAAATTTAAGTCAACATTTTTATTTTAGCTAAGCCATTTTTCCTCTCAACATAACAAAAGGTTTCATGAGAACTGGGGATACAGATCTGTAAAACAATTGGAGCTCTCACGTGAAAGGTGTTGTAAGATAGTTTCAATGTATTTACGGTCTCTAAATAAACAGGCTATAACTTTACAAAGCAATTTCCCACTCGAGGTTTCATCTCTTGAGGGAATATATTCTAGCATAAGAGGAGAAAAAAAGCAACTACAAATTTTGCCTCTCACCACTACTTTCAAATTATACAAAATACCATACTAATTAGAAATATTATCCCAAGTTCAGGACTTTTAATTCTACTCCTTTTTATAAGTATAAAAAGCTAGTATGACAACTTGACAGTTCTCCTTACCATTATTTATTAAACTCAATATTCTCTTTAATTTCGAAAAGTAATTTAACCTAATTTTTAAACCCAGAGTAGCTTGGAAATTTATAATCTTCAGTAGTAGGTTTTTATTCAGACAAAAAAGATGAATGCAAATCTTCATATTACCAGTCAGATTTCAAAACCCCACGGAAAATTTATAGAATAAAAAATGAAATGCAAACCAACTTCCATGTCTGTAGTTCACTTATTAGATAGACCACAATTCACATTACATACCTGAATGGCACAAAGCATTGTGTTGGGAGAGAGT